TCCAAAAAGGCGTTTTTTATCAACTCAAAAGTGTATAGGAGTTAGATTAATAAACCGTGAGGGTATCACACTTTGGATGAAAAACCCATAGGTTTTCTCGTAAACCCTTTTGGCTTTTTAATAAACTCAAAGGCGCCCTACGGCAATTCTCTTAAATAAAGGGGTTTATTGATATAAGGAAAGCATATTTTAAAAGATGGTGAAGGGCTTTCATCTTTATTGCTTTACTGCAGACTAGGTTAACTAGCAATGCTATTATGATTATATTGCCTGTACCTCGTTTTTGAGAAGTTAATCGAACTTGATGTCCTCATCTTACCGGACTTTTCTTCAGGATGTTCCCGGATGTGTGCTATATTCGAAGTTCAACAGTTGGTGTCAAATCTAAATATGTAACATATTTAGAATTTTCCCCCAAATTTAAATATTTTCTATGTGTGGTATTTCTTTCTAATACAGCAGAGCAACAGACAATCAGATAATCTCATTCATTCCATATTAATATTTGAATATTGTGTATATATATGCTGTATCTCTTGTAGCTACCAGAGAAGCAGACAATCAGATAATCTCAAGCATTCTCTATTTACCTTTGAATATTGTGCGTATATGGTGCATCACTTCTTACGAGCATGCCGTTGCTGATGAGTGGTTGACTGGTTGAATGGATGCGGAGGGGTGGGTGGGGTGCTGAGTGTGAGTTAACTAGTAACATTGTACGCGCTAGATCTGCCGGTTTTCCACAGGAGCGACTGTTCTTCACAGTTATGATAATAATTTGCGGGGCTTTCAATTTTTAAAAAGTTCAGCTGATCGGCAGGCAACCATAAGATTAATTTTTTAGGTTGAGATCATCTGAATGCCTGTCTCTCTGCTAGTTACAAAAGATACAGCATGCATATGTACACAGAATGCATGAGATTATTTGCTTGCCTGCTTCTCTGATTTATAGGAAAGACTGACCGCACTAACAACATATTAAAATCTAAATATTCGACATATATGATTATCTCATTGTCTGCTTCTCTGATTCAAAAGAAAAACTGACCATAGTTAGAAAATATTCAAATCTGAATATCTTAGAGAATATTCAAATCTGAATATTCGACACATAAGATTACCTGATTGTCTGCTTTTCTGCCTTATAAGGAAGGCACACTATGCTTGTAGAATATTCGGATATGATTACAGAAAGTGTTTGAGTTTCGTAAGGAATCGGAATATGTAACATATTTAGATTTGACATGACATGACCTCGACATTCGCTGGGGGCACCACTAAAGTATAGTCTTGAGGATTTGGCTAGTGCTGCCCTCAGCGGATATCTCAGTAACGGTGCTTGGCAAGTAGAGGTCTGCGGAACCAAACGTTTTTGGTCGCGGTCCCGTCCGGGTCCCATAAATATTTTTTCAAAGTAGCATTGATAGTCTGAAAGTCAGCGAATTGTAATGTGGCTCGTCGAACAGCATGCGTGGGTGGTATTAACCGGAGACTTTTAGAATATTCTATGAGTTCTTTTTTGCAGAACTAGTGTCTACATACAAACAAGCACAGAAACTAAGAAATTTTTATGCTCCATACTAGGCTATTTCCAAAACACCTGGTTCCGGTCGCATTAAAAGTCATGCAGGACCGGGATCGTCCCGCAGACCTCTATTGGCAAGAGAAGGAACAAATATGAGGAAATCAAATTTTATTTGCAGCTTGTTTAAACTTAAAACTATCATCTAGTAAATTTGAGAATCATCTTTCTAATATTTAAGTGCACTGGTGACAGCGGATACACTTAGTTGTCTGACCACGTACCATATTATACGCAAGAGTTGTGTCATGTTGTTTTCAACGAAGTTAATTACTTGAAACGAGTCGTTGTTAGCCAGCCAAGAGATCGGCGAATGTCTAATAGAAAGACGACTTCTTTCTCGCTGTTGCGAAGATCACGGAATAAATGATCTCTTGTTGTTGTCTTATCTTTCCAAATTTTTATGAGAATTATAGAAATTTACTGGAATTGTTGAAAATTTTCGTAAATGTCGGATTCCAGCTAAAGTCTTTTTACTTAGATTTGGAAGAGCTCATTCGGAAAAATGAAACCATATCGAACGAAAGAGGGTCTCGGAGACAGGAAAAACCATTTTCGAAGTGCTTTAAGAGTACTTTCGTAAACCTTTATTCTTTCGGTGTGGTTTCAGTTTCCCGAAGGCTTTAAGCGTTTTTTCTTCAATCAATTTTAAAACTTGAGGAGTATCATACTTTGTTCGCCTTTGTTTCTCGTCCGACTCATATACTAAACAGAATTCTCGAACAAAGTACGGACAGAAATGAACCATAATACGAAAACGTACTCTGTTAGAAGAAGAAAATGTGGTAGATTATCTCTAACACTGATTAGCTCGTATTTTGTTCGTAGTAATATGTAGTTCTATATGCTTTATCGAATCAGGTCATAAAAAAGGGATGTTAATGTTCGACCCTGTGAAGTTTATTCTTAATGGATGCGTGAACGATCTCTGAGACTATATTTTTATTTAATCTTTTCTTGATTAAATAGTATTGAATGTTTATCAAAATAATTAATTTCAGTTAGTTTCTGAAGCTGTCGAAAGAAATGCTGCTAAACAAAAACGGGTGTTTTAAATTTTTAATGTAGCATTTTTTAAACGACGCAGTTATTTTGAGATTATACTAAATAACTGAATTTTAATATAAGAAAAGTATATGAATATTTTTGCATGGTACTGCTTTTCTTTTACATGGAGAATCTTTCTTTACTATTAATCTACGTGTGTTAGCTTACATGTCCTGTTACTCCACGTCGAATATCTGTCCGAGTAACGGCACTTGGAATCAGTCTTACGTCACCGTTGCATCAAATCTGTCATATGGTTATAATATTGCACTTGATTCGTCAAACAATATCCTCGCAGTCAGTAATGATTATGCAGGCGTGTTAAAGTTTTCGCTCACCAATAGTTCATCATTCACTAAGGCAGTGAGCATTATTAACCCCTGGGGTTTATTTGTTGATCAAAATAACACGATATACTTATCAACAACTTCTGGTGGGGCTTCGGTGCGTAAATATCCCGCGAATACAACAACAGGAATTTTCGTTACCGGAAATATTAAAGGCAACAGTTCAAATCAGTTAAGTGGTCCTGCAGGAATTTTTGTCGATTGTCTTGGAAACACCTACATCGCTGACTCAAATAATAATCGAATTCAACGCTGGGCGTCGAGCGCTTCATATGGCTGCACCGTGGCTGGTGATAGTTCTGCTACTTCTGGTAATGGAACCTTACAACTCAACAATCCCAGTGATGTCCGAATCGACAAATCTGGAAATATATTTGTCTTAGATAGCAGTAACACCCGAGTGCAAAAATTTGCACCAAATTCGACTATAGGCCTAACAGTTGGTTCTAGTGTCGCTGCTAGTCCAAATCATCTTAAAATCACATCCTATGCCATGTTTGTCGATGATTGTCAGCAGATTTACGTCAGTGATGGGTATGGTCGCGTTGTACAATATAAACCCGGTTCTGTAAACGGAACAGTCATAATCAGTGGAATTGTTGGTGGCGGACGCGGCATAACCATGGATAGCTCGAAAAATATATATGTTTATAACAGTAGCAGTGCCGATGGCAGCATTCTCAAATTTGCTTATATCCCCTAGATAACTCACTAAAGGGTTGCGATATCTGCCATAGAGGCAGAAACGTCCTACACTTACGTGTATATATATACATACATATATTGTTTTTTCATTGATTATTCATTCATGGTCATTTGTTGTAAGGTCTCCGCAACTCCTGAGAACTTATTATTTCATTATTATTAATACTTATTACTATTAGTAAATTAATTAATTAATTAAAATCTCAGAAACTGTACTATAACTGCTGTTTTATCTGATTTTTCCACCGATCAAAGTTTTCAACGTTTATTATTCTTCGTTTTCGAATTTATGAGGTAGTTTTTTCAAAAATTTATTTTATAATTGAAGTTAGCATACTACTTACTATTAAAGAGCAACAATAGAAATACGACTGTTAGTGCAAGTGCAGCTGATATATCCTTAACTTTGTTTAACATAATTAAGAGTTTATTAAATAAATAGAAAAAAATTATTAAAATACGAATTTTCGACCTATTTATACGGTTATTACCAAGTGAATAAGTATAGTATGCTACAGTATCTGAAAACAAGACTAAACAGATAATTTATATATATGAGTGATTCTGGTGATTTTTGTACCGTTTTTAAAGAAAAAAATGACCCAAAATGAAAGTGTCCAAGAAAATATTTTAACACTGTAGATTTATAGAGGGTACTTGAAAGTCTAGAAAAAACTCTGTTTCCAAACTGCCAAGTCCTTCTCAGCCCAAATCCTGGTTGTTCACTTTTTGACTCAGGATCGAAAATGCGATTTTCTCTATTTTTCAGGTAAGAGGGCATAACTGAGCTTAAAAATGTATTGAAACATAGGTTTTCACATCTGCTCTATCAACTGGCATCATTAAAAAATGGTTTTTGACAATTTCTAACCTTGGGCTTCAAGAAATCCAGCTTTTCTGGAAATCCTTTGCTGAGCTGGTTTTCAGAAAACTGATCCGGCCATTCAATTCAGGGTGTCAAAATACGTATAATCGTATAATATGAGGCTTTATGTACTAGCCAAAACAATTCTAGAGATATGTTTGGAGGTGGGACAAAAGTTAGGGGTGGGACATTTTGATGTATTTTTCAAATTTCTTCTTTTAGAAATAAGCTGAAGCCTTGCTATTTACAGTATAACTTGTGCTACCCATTTGACATATATGGTAAAAAAACGAGTTCTCAATTCCATGTAGTTCGGTCAGGGGAGAATCAAAAGGGGGTGGAACAAATTGTATGTCACAAGCCACTGGACGTCAGTAAAATGTCAATTACTCAAAAACGAAAAAAGCTAGCAACTTGCGGTTTTCAACAATCTATAGTGCCAACTTTGGTAAATCCTTTCATAGAAAAATATTTGACTTAAAGTGCTTATTGGCTGCACAGTAGACTCAAAAGGGGGTGGGACACGATTTTTGAACTTTTCGAGGACCAGAAATTTCAGCGAAGTTTTCACAGAAACTAAAAGAGATTAGGCAAAACTAAGGCTGCAGATTGAGAGAGCAGGTAAAATACTGCACAAAAAGCAAAAAAGATTTTGTTCCACTGCCCCTTAAGAAAAGAAAAATGTTAATTAAGAAAAAAGAACGTGCGGGAACCACTACGAAAAGAAAGGAAAAAGAACCCCAAAACAGTGTTTTGCTTACTGTACACTAAGCAAATAAGACAGAAAAGAGATCTTAGCAGTATATATAGAGTAAAGTGTCCGGAATAAAATGGCATATATATATATATGAGTGATTCTGATAAAAATAGTACCGTTTTTGTGAAAAAAGTTGACTGAAACAAAAGGTAAACATCTAGGTTTTTTCTTATCATCTATTGATAGTGTATACCTAGGAGTATCACACACACGGGTTAGCAAACTAATACTACTTTGTTTTCCAGATTTGAAAAACATTTTTCTATTATCGGCGTCAAAACACCGTGCACTTGGTTATGTTTTGAATATTTTGTGATAGAAAAGAGCTAGAGAAGTTTCTGAAACTGTTTAGAAAAACAAATATTGCCACGAGATTCAGCATAGTCGGTAACCTATGTTTTCATTCATTTCTGACAGTCTCAAAACTAACGGCAGAGGAGTCCTGAGGATTCGAGGAAAATGCCCGTAGCTCCCGAACCATGAATTTTGGAGATGTCGCTTGGATCTGATTTTGTAGAGAACACCTTTGACTATCCATATATGAAAAAAAAAACTGATAGATTCCTATGTAAAACTGTGGAGCTATAAACTGGTTTTCCAGAGATCAGCGCAAAAATTTTGATTTCTGCATATTATTACGTGTCCCGGTCTTGGCTACACGGTGGACAAGATCAGATCTGGATAGCTTGTTCCGTTCTCGAGTTATTCATGTCGCAATCACCCACACTATATTTTGAAATGGATAGTAGCACTTGAAGTTCTTGAGCTATGGCCTGATTTTTCAAAGATCTCTTAAAAAGCCTATTTTCGAAATCTTTTCTGTTTAGAAAAGTGCACTGAAGTCTTTTCTTTCCAATGGCGAAGACCCGAGCTCTCTAGCTCTTTTTGTGTTCGACTTATTTAAAAAACGATCGAGCGCACTGGGTTTTTCGATAACAGTGAAAGAGAAGAAACAGGTTTGTAGAAAATCCCGTTCTCTAGGAAACCATCTTTTGGTCGATCTAAATGCTATTTATGTACTTCATTAAACTCAACATGTTTCGAAACGTCTACCTTAGAAATTTGGCTTTATTCGCGCGTGGTATGTTAACGTTACAGAAGAAAGAGAAAAAAACGGTTATGGGACATTTCTTTGTATTTTCTCCCTTTCTCCCTTATAAAGCAATCTTAGTCTTTGCTATTTATACAGGATCATCGTGTGAGTAGACAACACTTATGGGAAAAAAAGAAACTTTCTATCAAGCCCGGTTGAGGCGTGACATAGTAGGTGGTTACGGAACAAATTGTCAGTCAAACCTCACATAACTTCAGTAAAGTAGGAATTGCTTGGTAGTGAAAAGTGATAGAAATGTCGGATTTTCGCTATTGTCTATTCTGTATATTTAACGGGTGGCACATAATAAACAGGACACTTTTGTTCTTTATGTTTAAGCCACTTCCGAATGATCTGAAAATCTGGTTCTAGTCTCATTCGATAGAGAATTGAATTCTCTACAGAACCTGCTTTTTGAATCTTTGATAGCATTTTTTTCGTTTGAGCACCACTCAAAATATTGAATAGTGCTAAATTCTCGAACTGCGACACACTGAAAATAGAAAAATATTTGCCTTGATCTCAGAATAGATTTCATAAGAATTTTGAAAACATCAGAAGATTCACCGGAAAATTCTGTATCTTCTCAAAGATTCTTCGAAATTCTGCAGTTAACTCTTCTACGAAAATTTCTGTTTGCAAAAAGATGATAAATCTAAAAAAGTCTAACTTTTGAATCTATTTTTCACAGATTTTTATTTTTGCTTATGAAAGCAGTAAAACGTTATGAATACAGGATTTTAGCCTTGTTATCTTATACAGAATTAATTTCTGCATCTTTTGATATATGAACAAAGTTTCTCAATTGAAACCATTAATTACAAAATTAATTTAATTTGGAAAAGTTTGAAAAGTCGGTTGAGAACTAGTTAGGAGTCCAGCTGACGTAGCGGAAACATTGTATGAAGTTATAAATGAGTGAGATCGATAGAGCACAAAATTCTCTATCTTTCCACCTAGAAAAAGCAACTATTGAACCTCAGACAATGGGCTAAGAATCTCCAAAAAAGCATATGACAAAAGCACGCCGCAGTTCGAGAATCTAGCACTATTCAGTATTTTGAGTGGTGTTCAAACGAAAAAAACGCTATCAAAGATTCAAAAAGCAGGTTCTGTAGAGAATTCAATTCTCTATCGAATGAGACTAGAACCAGATTTTCAGATCATTCGGAAGTGGCTTAAACATAAAGAACAAAAGTGTCCCGTTTATTATGCGCCACCCGTTAGTCAACTTTTGGCATATAAAGAAGGCAAATTGAATAACTTACCAGAGCTATCACAGACCATGTGGTTACGGGACAGAAAAAAGAATTTTTTTGGGATCACAAATTCGGAATAAACTTGTGAAAAAACAGAACAATCGGTAACAAAGATAATGATGTGGCTGAGTAGAACGAAGAAAATACTATAAGAAAGAGAGAAAAAAAATATTGCTCCACATAAAATAACAGAGAAAATAACATTTACAAAACCAAACGTATTTGAATCACCAGAAAAACAACATCAGAATAGCGGCCAAACATGGATGTTTTGCTTATAATTCGTTCAGGGTTAAACATAGAAAAGTCGTACTTGCAGCGATTATAAGCCTAACGTTGTTGAATACATGCGAGAAGTTCGAAAGTGATTCATCAAGGCTAAGAACAGAAACGCTTGGGATCATTTACTTCATTTGAACGATACTATTTTTATCGGAATCACTCATATATATGAGTATAAATGTAGAGAGAGATCGATCTTCTTCGTTTTTACTATTATTTCTTCTATTCTCTATTCCATTGTTCATCACTTTTCACTCTATTGCTTTGTCAATTTTTTTTCGAATTTCGAATGGCGTGATTTTATTTCTCGTTGTTTTTTTCTATTGATTTAATAAATTCTTAATTATGTTAAACAAAGTTAAGGGTATTTCAACCGCAATTGCACTCTAATTCGTATTAGCATACTACTGTAGTTATTTGTACCAAATTGCATGAAAAATGGTTTCTATTTAGTGTAAAAGTCTTATAATACTTAAAAATGATCAAGTTTTACATCCATCCGGCTGAGAAATGCAAAAGAGTCATGTGACATCAAAACTAATTCATCATTCTTTTATGATCAAAGAAAAATGCCAGAGTCATTGATCATTTTCTCTCATGTTAAATCATACTAGAAATGCTGGTTCACAAGTCAAGCCATGAGCCATGAAAGTACATTCTAATTCAAATCAAGTCAAAGATGATATGACTTGACTTAAGCCTTTTTAGATTGACTTGCTCAGCTCTGTGTTAAAGAAGCTCCTTGTTGTATCTGGCACCAGATTACTTATCCAATTCATGGTTTGTCATACTTGGAAATGATCGAAACTCTCCATGTGTAATATAAAGTCAGTTTTTATTAATGGGGAAAAAAAAAATTGAGCAATATCTCTTTGAATGAGAATGTGACTTTCATCGGAATAATGCAGAATTAATTCGACTGCGATTGATTATCGGCCAGTAACGACTTTTTTATTGCTTGCTTATTCATTTTCTATGGCCTGTAATGCAAAAGCTAATAAATGATCATCATGTTGTTGTTCGGGGCATAAATGTAAAGCTCTAGCCAATAGCTCATCATCATCATGTTGTTGTTCGGGGCATAAATGTAAAGCTCTAGCCAATAGCTCATCATCATCATGTTGTTGTTCGGGGCATAAATGTAAAGCTCTAGCCAATAGCTCATCATCATCATGTTGTTGTTCGGGGCATAAATGTAAAGCTCTAGCCAATAGCTCATCATCATCATTTGATTGAACGTGTTTATTTTGTTCCTTTATTAAATTTTGTTCGACGACAGTGGTATCATTTGATGGGACTTGCTGTTGGTTGATATTGTTTGGTGGCTCATACGTTTGGATATTCCATAATTCGAGATCGAATTCATCGTGTTGTTTTTTGCCTTCTTGTTCTTTTTGTTCTTCAACAACATTAGTGACATCATTTGATGGATATTGTTGGTTATTACTTTCTGCATCGAAACGTAACAATAAGCGTTGTTCAGCATCTTGTTGATCGTCAAGAGACAGTTGTAAGGCATGTGCCGTTAGATCATCATCCAATTCAGTTTGTCTGTTTCGTTCTTCGCTTAATTTCTGTTCATAGTCAATATAATCTCCCATAGTCATATCTTTTGATGAAGCTTGCCGCAATAAATCCATAATATGTGCAGAAAAACAACGAGGACAACTCCGTTGTCGTTGACTCCTCATTCGTGGTTGTTGATCATACGAATCACGTTCAGAATTCAAATCGTTATTATTGTTGTGGTAAACATCTAGACTACTAGAAATACTCTGATTCGAATTGCAGTGAACTAGGAAGAAAGATATATAAGTGCTGAGCAATGTTTTTCTATTTTTTGAAAAGAGCCTGAAACTTGAATCTGTACTTCAATTTTCTGACGAGGATATTTCATTCACAAGCAAATATCAGATAAGATTTGAGAACACGTGGATACTCAAACTCTCCTGTGCACTATCATGACCATTGCACTCGGATAAGCCCGTGTGCTTAATTTTCTGGCGCTCAGGTAACTTGAAAGGCTTGAATTACATATACAAATATTCGGAGAAACTGCAGCCTATTGACCAGGTTATTTTGCTAGAGATGCAATAAATGTAATACCTCGTGAAAGTATGCTCGAAGCTCTTTGGAGTGTACCTCGGATTGGTCAAAGAGGAAAAGGTAAAAAAGGATTATGAACGTTGAAAGAAAGCTTTCCCGTTAAATAAAGCTCATCCGTAAGAATAAGATTTAAAGCACTTTAATTGAGCATATTGATAGTTTATAAAAATATCACATTGTTTTAAGGCCCACCCCCTCTCAAAAAAAAGGAATTTTCGACAAAAATATCGATTTTTAGATTTATACATAGTTAGATAGCCCATCATCTCTACTTTCGAATGCACTATAATTTATTGGTTTTTCGATGGTTTTTGAGGGTTTTACAACGGTTTTTCTGAAGACCCCTGCATCAAAAAATAATCAAAGAAAAAAATTGTTTTGCGTTTTTCTCGAAACTGTTTTTTTTCGTTTTATTTGACTGTGTGTCAAAGATTTCTCCGCCATTTTAAATGTTAGAAAGCTCGGGAAGGTTTTAAAATGAAGGTAAATATCAGCGCTACAACCTAACAAAGCCGGAATTTTTGTTTTCAACTTATTTGTTTACAAAAAACTCCAGTTTTCTAAAAAACTAATCTAGGTTTTTCGAAAAAGCTGTCTAAAAAAATTTTTTTTTTTTTAAAAATCCGGCTTTGTTAGGTTGTAGGGGTAGGTATTCTCTACATTTTGACACTATCCCGAGGTCCGTATCATTAAAATTGGAAACAAAATCTTTGACACACGGACACCAACTTTTTGACCCTTGATGTTACAATAACTCGCGAAAAACTCAATATTATGAGCTCAAATTTATACTGAGAACTATCAATGGTCAGATACATATTCACTGAAAATTTCAGTAAGATTGAGTGTTCTGGGGAGAAAAAAATTTAGACAGGGGTGGGTGGGCCTTAAGTAATACTTTGAGTTTTAGATACATTCAGCAAATTCCTATTATGCAATCCAGTTTTGTTCCTCCACAGGCATCCTTCTTGCATTGATTACGTCAATTAAACTAGCTGAAACCGAAGGCTGTAATAGAATTTATTTTTCATTTTGAGTGCTTACAATATCGACGAATCGTCGGACACACTGATTAGAAAATGAGGCATCCGATCATTGCGTTCTAGTTAAAGAAGTGAATCAGTTTGATTTTCTCAAAAACTACATTTACATTCGAGTCAGAGTTTCGTAAAGTTTGAATTGCAGCAATACTATACTCACCATTTTCTATTTGCAAGTTCAATTATGGTCCAACCCCTTGACCTTGAGTTAAGGTACGTTGAAAAAACGATGCTAAAACTTCTTCCATTCAATTTTCGTCAATACCAAATAAAGAATCAGTGTATACTGGACCAAATGTTGATATAATATTATGCATCCTATTAGCCGGGTTCCTAACATCTTGTACAATACTTTGAAAACCTTGAATATCATGTTGATGATATTCCATACAATGAGAATCAGTAAATTTTGCACTAATTAAAGTTGCATTTGTTGCTTTTAGTAGAAAAACAGAAATAAGTAAATTTTCGGTAAAATCTACAGGACCCCATAATGTCACATTTTCGCCCCACACCGGTGGTTCCCGTTGTTCATCCTCTTCGTCATTTTTAATTATTAATTTGCGAAACAGGGTCCAACTTTGTTGGCTGTCGGCAGCAGTACCCAATACATTTAATATTGACAAACATGATAGTATAGCATTATCGTTGTCATCATTGTTGTTGTTATCACCAATAGTTAATGACCACAAATGTTTCATTTTATGATAATCATTCACTGCTTCTATTAAATCAACGACTTTTATTTGTCGTATAAATTGTTCAATTTTTTTGTTCATACCTTCAGTCATTTGTTTGCGTATTTTCATAAACTCGAATTGGACCATTTCATCTAAATTGACCTTATAGTGAAGGATATCGCATGCTTCATTCAATAATTCTTGTGTATAGGGTTCAAGTAGATTTAGATTTTCAATAAAATAATGTGAACAAATACCCTGCTGTAATTGTTTTGTAGCAAACTTGATCCATTCAAAGCCAAGTTGTTGTGCTACAGATTCTGGATTATCCGCAACAATATTATTGATTAAATCAGACATTGTTTCACACATCCATAATACCGTTGTCTTAACAAAATACGACGGTATCAGATTACGCGTCGTTTTCAGGTAACGATAGTAAATGGATCGGGCGATACCATTTAAGACTTGTTCATTTTCAGTACGTTTTTGTGCGATGAAACGTTCCAGAGCTGAAAACGAATAACGAAATCCGAGTTCTTCATCGGTGTTCGACGTTTTTTTTGGCCATTTAGCTATAAGATGCATCGATGTGGTCGATATTAATTCGTCATACAAAAATGGACGATTTTTTTTAAATCGTTCAAAAAACCATTTAACGTCATCCGGCCAAAAACCTTTGATTTCAATAGCCGGAACAAAATCCACATCTTTCGGCATACAATAAGTAAGATAGTTAATTATCTCTTTATGGTTACCAGAATCTGACAAATGTTTATGTTTATCATAAAAATCCAATATTAATTGTAATTGTCGTTTAAGTTTTTGAGGTAAACGATAACCGTAAGCAGAACCAATCATATTGAATAAATCATAAAGACGTTGTTCATTCATATTCAATTCTGTTCCTACATCTTGTGTATGTTCACTTGTAATGATTGGTATTATAAAGCAACGCATAATTTCCAAATAATTGTAAGAAAATTTATAAAAACGTTCTTTTAATAAATTAGGTGGTAATAATGGTTGCTGAGGATGTAAAATATCAGACAAAACTTGTGTAAAATCATTTATCGCTGGCAATAAAAAGTTCATTTAAGACCTCCACGTTCGGGATAGTTGTTCAGTAGATATCATCAAATGTTTTTGTCTGCAATAAAATTATTTATTCTCTCTAAATTAGGCTAAACATATATAAAATGGTCGGCTGAATGGAAAAGTAAAAGCCTTTAGACGTGCACCAAGATCGACATCTTTTGGTGAAACTATTCTTCTCAAACATACTTATCTTATACTCTTTTAATTCAGTTTGGTCCAATGATCTGAAAATACTACTAGAATCTATCAGGTTAGAAAAAATATATTTTTTATGTAAAATGCTAGAGTTTTTCCAAACTTGGAAGCACTTACTAAATACCATCCTTCGAAAACTGTAAAATGATTCTAGCACGTTCAGTTTCGCTCTAATTCTAAATCGGGAGAATCATTTAGAAATTGGAGGAATTTAAAAGTTTAAATCTTTTATTTTAACGCATTTTTCGTCTTATAACATATATAATTGATTAAGTTGTCCGTGAATACTGTACACTGCCAATATAAAAGCGATTTTAACAGCGAAAAGGAGAAAAAAAACAGCACAAATGCGATTTATGAAAAAAGTGTAAGTCGTTTTTTTAAAAATTTTCCACTAATAAAATATAAACGCAGCGTACAACTTTGAACTCTATACGCTTCGACTATTTACTGAGATGACTAAGTGATGTTTTTCTTTCCTAGCTTAAGTTCAATTCAGAGAACTCTTTCGATGATAATTAACTGAATGTCCTCACTTGCTTCAACACATCAAACACTAATACTTAGGTACGAATCGGAGCATTTTAGTGGATGTAAGTTTGATAAATCATCACTTTTTACATTTCAAAGAAGAGCGTACAATAGCGTTTTTTTTATACCGATTCTTATCCACCCAGAGTTGCTTCTTCTGTCTTCCACTTTTCGTCCATAACTCCCTCATATTTTATTGAAAGGTACACGAAACCTTTTTAGAAAATCGAAGCAAGAAAATCAATATAAACTGAATATATAAACCTCGATGAATGTGTTCTAACATGGTGGTGTCGATTCCAGAACTCTCTTAGGATCCTTCCAGCATTGACTAATCTTTTTAACGTTGAACGTTGTTGTGTTTATTTCAATCGAATAAGCAAACGGGCGACGATTTACCTTGCAGAAATTCGATCAAACGTCAGTTTTTCTTGTGCATTTATGTTTTAAAAAAAACTGAAAATTTTGATGAAAAATATGTTTATTTGTGCAGTTATTGTGTTTTTTTGCTATTACGTTATAATAGTCCAAGAAAATGTTCCTTAGGATAAACCTCAAGAGCATCTTATTTATTGTGGTTACCAGAGATTACCAGAAATCTGGAAGAAAGACTTTAAAAAATACTTATTATTCTCGTCTTTTTCCAACAGAGAGTAATTTCGGTTGCTTTTTTTAAATGAATATTTGATTATTTCTAGCCTTAACTTCAAATCAGCTTTCTCACAAAATTTGTAACTTTTTGAAAATCCGGCCGCTGTTAGTCGGTTTTTTCACCAGTCCAATCCATTATTTCAATTGGTCGGTTCAGTTTTCTTCTGCTGCTTCCAATTTTAAACCATTGTACAAATGGATTTTATGATCCCAGTATCCTTTATGTCAGAGAACGTCTTTAATGGATGATCGTTAATATGTCATACTTCTGTTCTGCGGCAACAGAAGCAGCTGCAGAATCTGTTTGACATTGTACTGTAAGCATCCCCACTCCGCCTATTTCAGGTGTTGTCCCATTTCTACAACAATGTTCTTTCATTTTTAAACCATTAAGGCATAACACTCCATTGGAATTTAGTGTTGGTGTCAGATAAGATAGACCACCTGATCGTTGTACTTGCTGAAATTGAACTTGTTTAAAACCAGGAATATCTGTTGGAATAAGAGCTGCTGGAGAATCAATTGAACCCGCGACAAACATCATATCAATATCTTGAATACTTTGGTTTGCATAATGTCGAGCATAGGCTTGTCTTTCAGTTGTACTGCCGGCAATAAATGATACGTTACCAATAGTTGTTGATGACATTTTTAATTTTTCTTGTCTAATGCACTTTTTTCTACAAAGCAATATTGAAAACGATATTCGAGCCGTATCAAATAAGAGCTATCTTCTTTCCTTATCTATCCGGCACGCGCCTCACATTTCTCTTTCATTGCTGATACAGTAAAACAAAGAAACAGAACGAAAAATGTTCGTTCTCTTGGAGTGTTTGTGTACGGTAGTAAATCGTCATCTGTTTACGACGATTAGAAAACGAGCTAGATTAGACATCTTGAATTATTAAATACTTTTTAGTTATTTATTTACAGTTATTAAGTCATCGTTCACAAAAAGCTGATTTTATGCTAATTTTAATAATCAAAATTAATGATTAGTTTTGCATGATTGGCTACAGTAATTCGAGCACATTCATGCCAATATTCAATTATATATGTGTTTTGTCCCCAACTAATCTAAGTTTAGGCCTGAATTTAGATTAAAGCTGACTTAAATTTTCTTTGTGACACGTTTTAAATAGACGTACTTAAGTGTATATTAGTTGAACGTTAAACTTAAGCACAGAATTAGGTAACCAACTTAAGCAATTTGTAATTCGACCTTAGTTTTTTCTCAAGGAACTTTTTTTATTCTTGTGTAGCCATGTTTGAGTTTTGAATCGTAGATTGTTGTTCAATGTTTTTTTCAGATGTCTTCTCTGAAGATAATGTTTTTCTCTGAAACTTTTGTTTTGTCTGAAATTGTTTTCTTTGCTGAGAAACTTTGGGTGGAAAGCTGAAGTAGTTTTAATGATTATAAGGTACAATGATAAAACATATGTCAAAAATTGATTTGTCTAAGAAATAGAAGGACCGGTTTTGTCCAGCCCCAGCTGGTAACTGATGGAAAAGGATGATTTTGAATCCATAGACTGTATTACAAAAGTGATCGATTCATATTTTAGACAAACAAGTTTACTCCTCTCGTGCATGAGTGATATGCTTTCTCCATTATACCACTTAAAGTCGGCACCATCTCTAGATAATTTCTGTCATCTTAAGATACCAGAGACAAGATTTGCAAGAAATGAATCCGTATATTTCAAATTTCTTTCAGATATGTGCTTTTATATGTTCTTAGATTTCTTTTGATTCTAATCCTATATAAATGATAACTTACTACCGTACTCCAACATCCAAGGAAACGAACGTTTTTCGTTTGTTTTTTTAGTGGTATCAGCAATGATAGAGAAATGTGATCATTAGGTCGCAAGTCAGTGAAAAAGTGTTCAGAAAGTGACTTTAATGGAATTGGAGGGAGACAAAAAGTCCAAAAAGGCATTATGAGAGAGGTCGAAAAATCGACTTTTCTTGCGCCAGACACATCGAGCTGAAATTTTGGAAAATAAATAATGACTATTACTTATTCATTTGCTGAAAGTTTCACCTTTACACATATAATGGTTTCAAAGATAATTACTTTTATAGTTGGCGCTAAGTGAGCAGCGGTTATTCTCATTGAACGTAGCGCTTTTGAACAGGGGCAATTTTTGCGCGAAGAGAAGGCAGTGTCTAGCATAATTCTTGATGATTGAAAGCTTTTTCAGAGTATATAAGTAGGCTTCGCTTGGTTTTTTGAGCGAACTTTGAATAAGTATAGTCCTCTTTTGTTGCTTAGTTGCACAACAGAAATCACTCTAAATGGCAATTCTACACAGTATAAGTGTCAACATCTAAAACGATAACATTTAGGTTATGGTCGAAATTTTGAGCCCACGATACAGCAATTGAACGATAAACAGTTATTAGCACACCTCCAAACGCGTTAGTCCCTTTTCGAGAAAAAACACGGTAATTACAAAAGTGTTTAGAGAACAGTTTTACGGTATCCTGTATAAAAAAAATTCCAGTGCGGCACTGCCAGCGCGCACCGGTGCGCATGGCATGCCATCGGTGCGCAGCCGTGACCAGCAAGCGCCGAGCCAGTGCCGATATATTTCTGCCGAAAGGGTACCGCACTGGCAAAATTCAGTGCCGCACTGATAATTTATTTAATCAATTTAATTAGTTCTTTATTATGGTTGTTTAAGCTGCATTTTGTATTAGAGTGCGGCACTGGTCAGTACCACATTGACATGCCAAAACCATGCGGCATTGCCTCGATACTTCTCTTATAAGAAGGAAAAGATGAAGTCAGAAAGACATTCGAAATATTAGAAGTAGACTGTGGCGTTAATATAGACAGAAATTGACAAAACAAAATGGTGATTGAAAACTAAACTTCGGCACTGGTGCGCACCGGTGCGAGATTTTTCATTCTTTTTGGCAATGGTGCATGCACATCGGTGCCCAGAAAAAAAATTATTCGGCACCGGTGCGCACCCGTGCACAACCAGTGTCGATAAAATATTTTTTTGTAGCGTCGTCATCATGATGAATACCGTTTAAGACAACACTTGAAGTATAAAAAAAGTTCAAAAGACTAAAAACATTAAAAAGATGTGCCTTTAGGCTATTCACACTTAACAACAACATAGAAACATCGCCTTTAATGTTCATCATCAGTGTTCGTTTCCTTCTTTCTTTCCATTTGCCCAGTAGGCAATCCAATGTACTCGCTACAGCCCTTTCGTAAACAAAAGGAACAGAAACAACTTCTAATAACAATCCTTAGTGAATTATTCACATTGTATGTTCTTTCTAACATGAACGAAACAGCACAAAAATAAAGGACGAGGGTCGATAAGAGGCAAAATCGGCCCCTTCTCAGATCAGGCTCATATTCACAGATCTGGTGTAGTTTTTCTCCATGATTAAGACATTTTTCGTTTTTTCCGACTAATTTTACTGACAAGGGGCGTTTGTTAAATTGAATGCTGTTTGATAAAAGAGTGCTCTAGGGAGCTCAGAGGCGTCTTGATTTGCTCAGGAATCTTTTCTGTACGCGATGAGGCCAATACAGAAAAAGTATCATTCGAATTCGAGGACTTGATTTTCTAGGTTTACAGTTCTCCAGAGACCCGGATGCTGGGAATTCCAGTAGAATCTGTATTTGCCACAGACTAGGTAGGAAACTCCTTGAGATATTCAAAACTTTCCTCACATTTGTTGTAACTATTACCTTCGAGCAGAAAAACGGAAAATAAACCTGGTTCAATAGTTTTGACAGCCGCCGTAAATAAAAGTCGCGGCAGTCATATATTATTCAGTATATAAATAGTTGATGGAATGCTCAGCATTCCATCAACTATTTCAAAGGGCTTTTGGAAAATTTCATTTGTTTGAAATTGAAGCACATTACATTGTGTATTTTTCTATATCATGAGCGTCTCGGTTCCGATTTTGTGTACAACACTATATCTCACTCATTATTCTACAATAGATCAAAATTACTGCATCCATTCCGCATCTTGTGCATAAGTCTAACAAACTTACAATTTGGAAGAATACGTTATACCTCATTGTGTTGCTCTTTCAATTTTGCATCCTTTATAATACGGTCTGTATTTTGCATTTCTATATACAGACCGTATCATAAAGTAGAGAGCAGATCAGAAAATGATCGTCTGTAATAGTCAACAGCTTAAAAATAGGCCTCTAGCATTCGAATAGAGATATACATATGTCTGAGATATATCTCTATTGGCATTTGCTTCACATTTGTCTCAGTTTTCTTCACAGAAAAGATAACAGTTATATTCTCGCATTTTGTTTTTCAACTGACAAAACAGCGGAACAGAAACAAGAAGAAACAGTGTGATATATTTAAAAATGAGTGTCAGAGTAGCCTGAAAGTGTAAACATATCTTGTTGAATAGCCGACCTCATTTCCCTTTTCTGTGAAGAAACATGAGACCATGCGTTAAAAAGTTAAAAGTAGGCATTTTCCTATAAGCGCTAAAATTGAGCCTTTGACCGTTGAGCAGCGCTTGACACACTGTTTTCTCTACATGTGAGTTACACCTGAAGTATTTACCAAAAGTTTTTAATATACTTCAAGTTAGAGAATGTGGGTTTGTTTTATTTCAAACTAGACATCTAACTACACTGTCTGAGGTCTTAGTTTTTGTAAAACTGAGGATTTCTAGAAAATCAGGAAGCGTTTTTCGGGTTTCTGAGGTTGTTGGTTGTCTAGAAAACAAACGAAGACTTAATTGAAAAATCGGCGACGGTTAGACAGTGTGGTTAGGTCTGTAGTTTGAAATAAAACAAGCCCGAACTCTCTAGCTTGAAGTATACTAAAATCTTGGGAAACACTTTAGAGACCTTTTTTAGACTTTGATCTCTGGACATCCCCTAAACGGTAAGAGTTACGGACAAAAAAACATTTCTTTCCCGTAACTCATTGTGCCTAACATTTCTAGAAAGTTTCGTCAAGATCGGATGTACGGTGTTGGAGATAATTTCTAAGGGGAGAGCTTAAGCTTATTTTTTAATACTATTCGTTGTCGTATTATTTCCCTAATCGAAATTTTCGGTATGATGTATAGTATTGTGAAAAATTATAGAACCACTTCGTTTTTTGCTTTATCAGATGACTTAAAACACTTTTCTGACTACACGACTGGAAAGAGCTTGAAAAATTGAGTATAATCAATGAATTTTAGATTAATAATCGTAGAGCATGGGTAGTTTTAGAAATTGGACTTCTGCAGAACTTGTTGGAGAAAGATTTGGAACTTCTCACAAACCCACGAAATAGAAATGCAAAACCTTTTTCTCCTTTCTAGTCTTAAAAGAGAGGGTACCCTAATAAATCAGTATTTAAATACTCAGATTTAACATCTCGCATTTTGCATTTTAAAGCTTAAAAAAAAATGCTGTTTCTGTTTTGAAGACGCAAAATAAGCTCCTAAGGTTCGAAAAAGAAGAATTCATTTTTTTACATTTTGATGTGCAACGCGACAAAAAAGTGAACGAAAATGCAGGCTGCAATTTCGTAAAAGGTAAAAGCCAGCAGTGTAACTTCGTCATCATATGATTATTTTTGTCTTATTTACATAATAAATGTTAATACTGGAATGTGTGAAAGTTCTTTAATTACTTTAGTTAGTTCCAGAGTGAAAGATCTTTCAATCGTGTAAAGCTTCTGAAAAAAATGATGGAGTCATGAATAATGCTGTAAAAATATTGTAGAAATTTAGTCTGATTTCCTGTGACACAACGCTTCCACGAACTGAAATCATATTTTACACACTGTAACATCTGTTACTGAGAGCCGAGTGAAGGAGCACAAGACATAAGAGTGAACTACCTGATAATATTTCTTCAGACAGATGACATTTGTCTAAGATGAGAAGTTGATACAGACAAGTACTCTTCGATTCGCGGAAGAGTCGTTGAATATTGACTTCTTTATCCACCCAGTTATGAGGATATTGCTTGAGTTATACTTTATATCTTTTCTACTCATTTTTTAAATATATCATTCATTATACCTTACTCTGTAATTAGCTTGAAAAGCTACAATCAGAGAGAAATAAAAAAAAATTTCTTTCTCATTGCAGTTGCCACTGTTCTTATAGCAGGTGTAATTTTTTATTTATACTCTCCGTTTTACGCACGTACAGAATGGAAAAACTTTGCGTTTTTTTGCTCTTTATCACAGGTGAGAGCAAAACAGAGCTGACTCAGTCGTATTGCTTCATAATAGCGCAGTGTGTGTCATAAGAGGGCACGATCTCCTGCACTTCAAATGTGTGCAGTAAGTGAATAAATGTAACTATTAAGCATATTTTTACTTTGTGACATGTGCATTTTTCTTTCTAGAACCGTTCAAGCATTATTGATTCATAACCGGAAATGGCAACTTCCGATAATTATTTTGAATCGTCAGTATCCAATGAGTTAGCGGTAAGAACTATCGTGATGTCAGAAATATTTTTTGAATACTCCATTTTTTTCCTAGAGTATGATAGAAGAAATGAAATGTTTAGCAACGGACACAGAACCATTTGCTCCCACAAGGACAGATGAAATTGATAATTTAATCAATGTTGAAACATTTGGTAAGCTTCACCAATTTTTTCATGGTTTTAATATATCACATTGTATTTTAGAACCTGTTCGTCATTCGCTCATAGAAGAAAGTGAATCAGTACGCGAAAGTAGCGACGAAGAGGCTAAAGGTGGACCGAAAAATTTGAATGAATAGAACATAATCGTTTGTGTTTCATTTTTTTAAGATGCCATATTGGATGTTTTATGTAGTAGTTGGAAACGAATCTATCTGACAGCTAGTACCACTTTGAATAGTGCCGCAGAAACAACAACTCAATTAAGTAGTGAAATTATGGAAATACAATCGTGTGGCACAACTCCATATTCGAAAGACACTAGTTCACAGAGTAAATGAGAGATAAGAGAAAATAATTGGATGGGATGAGTAGAAACTGACGTGTATTTTTAGAAATCTTGCCCTGTACCCAACAAAAGGCCAGAACAACAACAACTGATGACAAGACTCAAATGAATAAGAAACGTAAATAGATACTATTCAATAAATGCTTTCTACTAGGATACAGTTATTTTAAAGGTCATATTATGATCAGTTATGATCGATCATCATTTGAAAAGTCAAACGACATATATGCTGGTTTAACGGTAAAGAATGTTTCTGAAACTTTTACTGTCTTCAATAAAATAATCGTGTTATATAATCTAAACCAAAGGACGATGTCCTATATATTGAAAAGACCAGAAGAGTTTGAGTTACGAGATGATACATTGGTATCATTTCTGTATTAGGCATTGGGCTACAAAGTATGGATGAATGTTGCTGATTTGCATGGAGATCTTCTTGAAGCTATTGCAAAAGCTGTAGAAAACTCGTATATCGTATTATTATGTATCAACGATGGATATTATATTAATCCTTATTGTCGAAAAGGTTAGTAATATTCGGGATCAAACTTAATTATTTCACTACTGAACGACTTCAATCGTTAATTTTCTTTTTTTAGAAGCTGAATATGCAGCCGAAAATTATATTCCATTTATTCCATGCATGATGCAAGAGAACTTCCGATGTGAAAGTTGGTTAGGAATTATCAAAGGTTCTCAATTTCATATTGATTTTGTTACGCTACCATTCGATAAAGCATTTGAGATATTGATCAACGAAATAAAGCATGTTGAGAATCAAACAACATATGACATCTATAGTAGAGGTAAAGACGGCTTATTCTCCCTTTCAGAATATAAATAACATTGTTATTCAATAACAATTTATACTAAAAAGATGAACACATGTATTTCTTGCTATAGTACTGCTAATATATCAGGGGTGGACAATAAAACTACATTTTGCTCGCTCGCGCAGATCGTCCCATAAATTTCTTGCTTCGACATCTCCACGACTTCTCAAAAGATCTCATTCATGGGAATCGCTCCGTAAACAGCCTATCCGTCACCGCTTCGTCTGCCATCAGCACTTAAAAAGTTCCGTTTCTCTTTCTCTAAAAAATTTTAAGAGTATGTATGGCAAATAACGGATTATAATGACGTTATAGCGCTGATCATATCACAGTTATAGAACTGAGGAATAAAAATACATCGAACGAGAGAGAAAATAATAATAGCCATCAGAGCTGGTTCGCCGAAGGACCAGCACACTGTGTCCTTCCTGCTGAGCACGGAGGATACAGTGTGCATTTCCTGCAGAGCAGGCGGATGTGTACTTTTTATTGTCCGAAGTCCTCTGTTTTCCCATAAATATGACTTCTGAGCACGCAGAAATTCATATCAATCAAAAACAAACAAATTCAAAAAAACGTTTTTTCGACCAAAAACATCCGAGGTCTCTCGCTTTGCCCAAAAATTTCGTCGAAAAGTTTTTTCCTCGAAAATTAGATATTTTAGACACTATTCGATGGAGTTTAGTGCGCTGATTTCAAATATGACCTTAGTTCTGAATAAAAGTGCTCTTAAGCCGAGAAAAGAGGGAAACACCTGAAAAACCTACTATGCAGTCTCGGAACGCTTGCGCTAGTTTGCGCCAATGTTGATGATAGACAGTAAGTCGAAGAGCATTGTGGCAAAGTTTAAATGTATTTGGATCTAGGCTAAGAAGGACACACTTATTTTACTGAACAACCGTTGTGAAAATCACTTTAGAAAAACTATTCATTTTTTACTCAGAGGTTATAAGTCTAAATTAAAAAGTCTTTTTAATAAGCAATAGCGGATGGTATGCAGATTTGGAATCTGTCTTGCTTTTGCATATTAGTCGGCATGTTTTTATTTATTATTTCCCCCAACGATAAACATGGTATTTTCTAGAAAACATACTTCATGAGTCTTATAAAAAAGTTAATTTTACTAAAGATAGTTTCTTCTCTTTTTTGTATCACTTTATATGTTCTGTTTATTTCAGCAAATTCTGTGCAAATAGTTTCTGCTAGTTCGCCACCTCAACATCAGTCAGTCAACACTGTTACTCTATCAGATTTTGACAAAATAATCAAAGATTATAAAAAATCAATCAATAAAGCTCACAATGATCTCAAACACCTTAAAAGACATGAATTAGTTCGATTGATCAAAAAGCTACGTGCACTATTTAATACTGTGGAAACTATTATCGAAGATTTTAATTGCCAAGAATGCATAAGTAGCACTACGAATAATGATGAGAGCAATGAAATTAGTTCAGAGGATAACTTTATTTATAATCTGTCTCAATCTCTAATCGAACATACATTAGAGCAACAGAATACAGGTAAAATTATCGAACAGAATCACACGTTTGTTAATATAGTAGATCGACTAACAAGGAACGGTGCTTCAACTCAGCTGAGTATAGAGTCTCTCATTAAATTGATGTTTGTTGTCATGTTACTCTGGACAATCGAAATAATGATGACAACTCCAACATCCCGGAAGTAGTTGAAGAATCACTTGTTTAGAAAAAATTGATTCTTCTTTCTATGGTCCAATTAATATAACTTCTTAATAAGACAAATACACGCACTTTATCTCAATCGGGTAAATTTGTCTTCATAAGTGAAGACCAATTTTCTAAATCATATATCCCACATGCATTTCCGTTAAGAATACAATAATCTAAAAATATGAAGTCTAAGTTTTTGTAATTCAGAAATATATAAATAATTTCGTTAAATAGAACCAATGGCGGACCGCCAGCAGGGCAATTGGGGGCAACTGGCCTTCTTGGAAAAAAATATCAAGGGCAATAAGCAGTTATTACCACGTGAAAAATTATATTTCGTACCACAGTATTTGTCCGAAGTTCAAAATAAAGTAAGAGTAATCCTTGATCGAAAAATTTGATGTACGATTTACATGAAGGAAAAGTGTGTTAGCACGACAAAAATTATGAAGGGAAGCACGTTTGTGTATATGCACTATTCTGAAATATTTATTGCCTATGGGCTATTCAATGGCGTTAGAAGTTTTGCTACGAAGTTCAACTGTAGCGGAAAATCAGCTAATTAAAAATTAGCCTGAAAATAGCGTGATGGTCAGAAAAATTAATCTTTTACACAAAAATGACTAGTGCAATCAGCAAATGTTTTGTTAATTCTGAATCTGCGCATCGTTTAGTGTATATTGGTAAAAAAAACTTTCAGTTTGAGCTAAAGAATGTTGAGAAAAAAAATAAAAGTTTTTCTTAAATGATTTTCCAAACGGCTAAGTTTAGCAAAATGAGTGTCCCCTTCACATCCCTTTTTGGACCTGAACCAAACTTTGCCAGAATGTTCTCATATATGAAAGTTATCACCATAGTTAGCACAAATTAGCACAAATACCCATGGACCCAGATACTGGTTTTCCAGGTATCTCCCATTTATCTCGGCCTAGAAATATTTTTATTCAATAAAAATGACTTATTCGGAATCAGCGTAAGAAACTGCATCAAATTATGGTGCGATTCGTAGGTTTTTCTGAGCAAAAACTTGTTGGATCTAATGAAATGCTAAAGTCGAAGCATAGCGTAACAGTTTTGGCTAAGGATTTTGCTATTTGCTATAAAAGCAATCCGAAACCTACAAACACTTTTTTCATAGGTTTTCAGATATGCTCTTTCCAATGGTGTGCTTCATAAAGTTTCAGAATACTTATGTGTAGGTTTTCTATAGACACGGACCCTGAAGAACCCAGATGAAAACCTCTTTGAAGTTTGTAAAGCATACCATTAGAAAGAGCATTTCTGAAAACCTATAAAAAAAGTGTTTATAGACTTTCGGACTGCTTTTATAGCTAATGTCCACCTGGCCTATAGAAAATGCAAATGACGCTATTTGTTAGAGATTAAATGCATACTCTCTAGTCCAACATCCATTAAGGATACCTCACTCCCTTTTTTTATCCTCTTGCAAACCGGGGAAGGCGATGTCCGATCGGGTTCAAATTTATACCAGAGATAGAACATCGAAAAAGAAAATCGATGTATTTTTGCCCAGAATTTTCTGAGGTTTAGAAAACTCCAGTTTTCATTAGCATACATTACGACCCCTCGAAAAAATGATTCGATCGAGCTCAGAATTTTACTACAGATACTTCAGATCCTATCTCAAGTTTCTTTTTTTCTTTTCAAAAAATATTGTTTCATTCTCGAGATATTCGAAAATACTGAAAACCTCATATAAAAAACCGGTTTTTCATTTCGAAAACTTTCTCACCCCGAAAGTTGAAATCGAAAACGCTTTAAAAAGAAAGGAACCTGAGATAGGATCGGAAGTTTCTGTGGTAAAATTTTGAGCTCGATCAGACCATTTCGAAATTGTTACCGAATTTTGTCGTGACATAAGTTTCTTCTTCTGATCGTCTGTGTTATGTCCTGTGATCTCTCGAATTACATATAGCTATCGAGCACAAAATTTCACAATAATACTAACCAAGGGATCTATCCAGATGTCCAACGCCAACTTCAGTGATCTTTTGTCTACAGATACTATACAGTGTCCTACCATCTATGACAATTTTTTGAATGCGACAATGTCCGATTTTTTCGGTGTCGGTTCAAACCAATCATCGTTTTTATTGTGTCGGTTTTTCGGTTTGAAAACGGAAACCGGTGCATGTCTGGCAACGTCCAGGCGACACTCATTGCGTACACCAATTCAAGCGACAACACAATGAGTTGTCTCCGACTAGCTTGAAAAACGTTCCATTTATGTACGTTCTTTCACCGTTAGATGCGACGTTCGATTTAGCCACTATGAATCTGAGTTTCGATAATTTTTTGGGGAACCGGAAACATGAGCACGAAGGAACTTGAGCACGGAAAGATGAGCACGGGAAAGTTGAGCACTAGGAAATATGGGCACTAGGAAAATTGGGCACGAGGAAAGTTGAGCAGGAGGAAACTTGAGCACGAGAAAGTTGAGCACTACGAAACATGAGCACAAATTTATAGTCTATCCATTAAACTTTTTGTATCATAAACAGTTGAAAAAATTTAAGAGAAAGTTAATTTAATCAATTTATTCAATATACTATTATATGAAATATTAAATTTTTTATCAGATGATCAACAAAGAAAGAAATATTTATTTTATAAGCAAATATTATGTGCAATATTATTTAGTTGCATAAGAATATCATCATGTGGATGCAATAAAAGATTTAAAAGACGTCGTTCAAACCGTTCATTTGTTTTACTTTTATGTTTTGGTGCTTCACCACTATTTATATGAACAACATCAGCAAATTGATTAAATTAACTTTCTGTTAAATTTTTTCAACGGTTTATGATACAAAAAGTTTAATGGATAAACTATAAATTTGTGCTCATGTTTCCTAGTGCTCAACTTTCTCGTGCTCAAGTTTCCTCCTGCTCAACTTTCCTCGTGCCCAGTTTTCCTAGTGCCCATATTTCCTAGTGCTCAACTTTCCCGTGCTCATCTTTCCGTGCTCATCTTTCCGTGCTCAAGTTTCTTCGTGATCATCTTTCACCCAGCCAATTTTTTGGCCTTAAGGTAGCAAGAAAGTATAATTGATCAAATGTATTCACACAGATGTCACGACAAAATTCGGTAACGATTTGGTGAAGACTTCCTAGGACTTGTCCGTTTTTCGAAGGAAAAGGAAGTTTGAAGTATAAAGTTTATATACGAAGATTTTTATGATTTGCAGAGGGTTTTTTCCAGTAGCTGTAAACTTTTGGCGTGAAAATGTGATTGATCAAATTCCAATGTAAATTTAGTGTTTAAGCTACTGAAATGGCGTTTACAGCTACTGAGTGGATTAGTAACAGACAGTAGATAATTACCGTCCAGTTGTTTGTATATTTCTTCTTTATTAAGGTGCTCCAAATTCAAACGTCGAGCACTATATTATTTTTCGCTCAAATATACCTCATTCGATGCAGAATTTTGCGCTGATCACGAATATGTTAGTTAAAAAATTTTAGTGTGCGTTTTTACTGAAAAACAATTGGACGACTCCATTTTTTCAAAAAATCGCAACATTCCGAAAAATATGCGATATGTCGACTTCACAAAGTCGTGAAACCTTCGGAATCATCGTGAAAAACTCCATATCATAGACTATCTCTGAAGGTTCAGCAGGTGTAAAAGGTGCTCCCCTTCTAGTCATACTTTAAAGGTCTCAAATTAGATATTCTCCGCTTGCAAGCCTATCAGCGCCATCAGGTCGAGAGATAGACCCTTCATTCTTACGCCATTAGAACCGCCATCAAACGTAAAACAAAGTTATAGAGTCACTTTTTTGAATTTCTGTTTTTTTGCTGAGATATTATTTTTTTTTCAAAACGAACGCTTTTTCACCTATAATCGGCCAAGTGATTTTTTTCTTAGTTTCTTATTTTTCAACAGAATTCACTCAAATTAGCAGAGTATAGATAAAAAAGCATTCTGAATCCAATGGTAAGATTTTCAGGATCTCCAGAGGATATCCCTCCTTGCATAATTGTCTATCAGTCGTTTTATCCGATAGTTGAACCATTTCAGACAAAATATTATTTAAAATAAAAATAATGCTAACACTAGTAATATAGAAATAATAGGTTAAAAGAATAATTCTCAAAGAATATAAATCTATTCTATATGAACAGAAAAAAAGCTATTAATTAGAAGTTTCTCTCGCGCCCTACTATTCTTATTTAACTTCCTTCTATTTATTCATGTTCTATGTTGCAGTCCAAGAGTTCAACAGGAAGTTTTCACATTTTTGCTTTGTACAAGCAATACTGACAAGCTTTTTATCCAACCGCGGTTGAGTTTGAGAGGATGACATATGCGGTGAAGCAAAATATTGATCATTATGTAAAGTATTTAGTGAAAAAATGGCCAGCGAAAGAGTTTTTGATGTACTATTTGTCTAACCAGAAATATTGTATTTAGTCATTGCTGAACAATGCACTGAAAAGAGCACTAGTAGGTTTTTCGAAAGCTCTGATTATCTTTTTCATCCTGATCATCTAACGCTGAAAGAACGTACATAAATCCCACGAAAACATTTCCAGCGAAAAACTGTGTCGAAACGCAAACTTCATTTTAAAAAAACGTTGTTTTTGTGTTTAAACGCGCGGGCTTGTTTTGCAACGCGATTTTGGTCATGAAAACTCATTGAAAAAAACACGTTTTCCTGATAGAAAATATACTTGGAAAAACCCGTTGAAACACGCTTTTTTAATTCGCTCAAAACGCGTTTTTTATCAGGAAATACGTATTTTTCTCTGAAGTGAGAACGAGATATCATTCGGACACAGTATAGTATTCACCTCATAATAGTATTGTCTACACAAAATTCACTGGCCGTCTTAATTGATGTTTGCTTTGTCATAATAAAAAGTCGGTGAACTATAGCAACCTAACGAGGAGAAACATCCTCACATCTCAAAAAGTCACTTACATCTGGCGACTTGTTTTCTTAATAGAATGCAACTCAGTATCAGAATTCATCTTTACACAGAAGGAAGAACGCGAATATCGACCTGACAGACAGATTATTTAATTTCTCTCAAACACATAGTTAGGTATGAGTAAGGAGATAGTTGTCTGTAGGAATACTTTATTTTGAGCGAAACGATTTATTTACTTCGTAAATGAAACTTA